CCCCCCCGCCTTTATTTTAAGGGAAATTAAAACCAGTTGTCAGTGTTCGGTTGAAGCAAGTGAAATTTTGGATTAATTACTCTGCTCCTATATCATGCAGCAGGTGACAAGAATAAACCTAGTCACAGTAGTAAAGAGGTGACTGAAAATACCCCATGGAGGTTTTCATTGTAGGAAGTTTCCATTGTTTCCTCAGTTTCAGTTTGTTGTGTCTTTGAAGCGAACCTCACGGAGCTAGAAAGTAGGTCATATGACAGGTCCCCTAGGGAACAAGGCACCTTTGCCAGAACTGCTTCTGTCTGCACATTTGTGTTTTGATGTTGGTATCGAGAGTAGAGTTTGGGGGCTGGGAAATCCGCACTGTGCTCTGGGCCGCTTCGGCAGTGCAGAGAGAGCTGATGTCGTGGGCAACGCGTTGTGTAGTCTTCTGAGCTCCTTTCCCCGAAGATCCCCTTGAACACGCAATTGATCAGGCTCCTTGAAATTCCAGTCCACAGCGTAGATTATGAGTTTGGGAGTTGGAAACGTAGTAAATGATGGATAGATCTTCCTTCCTCCAGGCTAGTCTTCTTTTTCAAAAACAGACAGACTGCAGAGAGTTCTAGAAACTTCAAAACAGGGCCCTGTTCTTCAGCCAGAGAGGAAGTGCCCCACCAGCTGTGGCATTTGAGTAGATCCAGGTGTTCTTATTTCCACAGTGATAACTGTTAAGGAGATTCCATGTGTTAAAGGTAACAGCAGGCTTCTGTTACCGCTCAGACCCCCACATCTCAGTGAGCTCACCGCATGGCATCACTCGTTCATGGGCTGTGTGCCGGCAGCGTGGTGTCTTTCCTCCTGTCTGTGATGCCCTCCAAGAGGCTGTAATATTAGGGAGACTTCACCTGGCACTGGGAGGGTGCGGGCGCCTGAGCCCCAGTTCTACCCTGGCTTCTAACTGAGAACTCCGGGGAGACCCGCAAAGGCGGTTCACTGACTTCTGCAGTAAGCGTGTTGCACGTCTGCTCCGTGAGATCACAGGGTTGGCGTATCGGTTAGGACAGACACAGGCCAGCCTCGGGGACCTGGGAAGGAGGTGCAGGGCTGCCTCCCTCGGTCCATCTGCCCAGGTGTCACCCCTTTCAGCCGGTGCCTTTGCTGTTTCTGTTTCCTCTGTCAGGAAGGTTCCTGAAGACCCTTAGCTCACAGCAAGGGTGTCACCGTCTTACTATTTCAGTTCTCAGTTCAGACCTTGCCTCCTCAGAAAGTTCTTTCTTAATCACCTCATCAAATTACCCACCCTTTCCCCACTCCCTGTCACGTCATCTTAGGTTTCTTTTTCAAAGCGTTTAAAAAATATCTGAAATGACCTTGTTTGTTCATCACTCATATATTACCTGCTAAAGTGTAAGCTTCATGAGGGTGAGGAACCAGGTTTGTGTGGCCAAAAAGTGGATGCTCAATAAAATTAACCAAATGAGTGAACGAAGTAGGCATACAAATAAGTGACGATATCAAAGTGTAAAACCCAAAGAAGGGAGGAGACACCAAAGAGCCCCCGGGTTTTGCTTCGATTGGGAAGAGAACTGAGTGGGAGGATGTCTGGGAAGCAGGATTGGCCCTCAGTTCCCGGGCTGTTGCTGACTTCTGTGTTGGTAACCCTCCTCACTCTGTCCTTGCAGCAGAGAATGCACATTTGAAATAGCTAAAAAATATGTATGTTGTTGTTGGAACTAGAAGCGTTTTCAGCTGGAGGTCCTATGAGGGATTTGAATGATCTGTTCATTTGATGGGACATAAATAATTGTGCCCTTCACAGAATCTCTGGCTTGGGAATGATGGTAGAGATGTGTAAAGAGAAAAAAGTCAATATGGATTTTTGTTGTTCAGAATTGGCTTTGATTTCTTCAGCTCTGGGAGTCATATCTTAGAATATTAATTTCCCATTAAGTGAATGTTTTATTAATAGGAAGAGTCTCCTCTGTTCCTTCAGCTGAGATGGGGATGAGCAGTCTGGTCACATCAGCCAAGCACACTTGGCCCCTGGTCACTAGGGTTCTCTGTGGGGCAGACGCTGTGATGGAATTTTCAGTGCAGGAGAGTTTTTGGTGGGAGGGACTTCCTGCAAAGGACGCAGAAGAGAGGAATTAAGAGCAGGTGGTGCAAGTGTGGGGACCGCTACCCAGGCCTGACACCTCCCAGAGGGGTCAGGGGAGCCAGGGGTGTGGCTGAAGGCAGCTTTAAGAAAGTCATGGCCAGGCCATCAGGCAACCGCAGAGCCAAGGCTGCCGGGGGAGGAGTGGCTGAGCCCTGGTCTCCCAGCATGTTTAGTCATTGGCTGGAGCACCCAGTGAGCACGGTGTCCACGTGGAAACAGTGGTGGATCCCGAGGCGTGGAGGCTACAGGCCGTCAGCTAAAAAGGCTCCTCGAGGCAACTGTCCATGGAAGGAAGATCTTAGGGGTGCACTTCCATGCCTGGCACAGCGGTTCACGTTCCTCAAAGACATTTTCCAAATCACATCTTGGCCCTCTCACTTTTAAAAGGCTCAGTGGTTCATACAGCAGTGCTGGGTCCTTTTGTGCGTGGTTATAAAGTACTTAATCCAAGTACACCATGAAGCCCGGTATCGAGGGCGCCACAGACATAGACCAGCCTTCANGAAGTACTTAATCCAAGTACACCATGAAGCCTGGTATCGAGGGTGCCACAGACATAGACCAGCCTTCATGGAGCTTATGGACTCTTGGGAGAGACATACAGTTAATCATATAATCAAAGATTGGGGAGCAGAACATTCAACTCAGACATGGGGGTTTAGGGAAGGAGTCTCAGACAAAGCGACCACTAAGACTTAAAGAAGGGGAGTGGTGGCAGGAGGGAGACTTAAAGAGCGCGCAGAGATTGTCTAGGTAGAGAAGGGAGCACAGGGCTCAGGCAGGACCCGCATAGATGAAGGTGCCTGCTGGTGAGAGGTGGCACGTTTGAGGCGCTGAGCTCAGCGACATTGCTTCTCTAATGCTGGGGATACCTCTTGGCAAAACAGAGTACTATTTCTTACGTGTTTATTTTTCTATATAAATTGTGACTTTTACAAACTCGAGAGCCATGAAGAAATATAACTAGAATGGAGAGAGGTGATTTGCCATGGATTCTGGTCCTGTCTATCCATTGAGCAATAGAAGGGAGCACATCAAAGTATCTAATCAGGTATTTTACTTACTACCAGCATCCATTAGAGAGGAAAGATTTAGGGAGAAAATGTGAACCCTATTTGCTGCATTGACTGAGTCATTTTCANTTTAGGGAGCAAATGTGAACCCTATTTGCTGCATTGACTGAGTCATTTTCAGGGCTTTTATATACAAGAACCAGCCCCTGCGAGTAGCCGCACCTCTTAAAAATATTGGTATCAGCCCATGCACCGAAGGGTTGAGGGTTCGATTCCTGGTCAAGGGCACATAACCTTGGTTGCAGGTTTGCTCCCTGCCCCCTGTCGGGGCGAATGCAGGAGGCAACCAGTTGATGTCTCTCTCTCACATCATTGTTTCTCTCTCTCTCCCTTCCTCCCTTCTCCTCTCTCTGAAAAACAATTGAAAACTATCCTCAGGCGAGGATTAACTATATATGTGTGTGTATATATATGTGTATGTATGTATATGTGTATATATACATACATACACATANTATATGTGTGTGTGTATATATATGTGTATGTATGTATATGTGTATATATACATACATACACATATATATGTTCTAAAATACTTTGTCAAGTTCTAATTTTTAAAAATCCATTTTACTTGCGTCCATAATCCACCTCCACAAGCTTGTGTGTGAACTGGTATGGAAACGTGGCCTTCCCTGATACATCGTTTTATGCAATTGACCAGTGCTAAGAAATGTACATTATATCCTATGTCAATTAAAAAGTATTTACTTTTTTCTTTCAAGTTTTTGGATTACCTACTTTTGTTCTTTCCCATAGTGTCCAGCCAGAAAAAGTCCAGCGGGCTGTGTGTGTGCAGATTCTAGGACACTGCCAAAGGCATCGAAACACTAACCACTCCTCATATCAGTTAGCTAAGAAAGACCAGGTTTTTATTTTTGAAAGGAAACTTGCTAATAGTGATTGCTG